TAAATTAGGGACGGCTAGCGCAGATAGCCCTCGTGTAGCTTTGCGCGAAATTCCAAAACAAACAAACAATCATTCAAAAATAAACTTCTTATCTTAACTGTGGCACGTGAAGTATTCTCAACTGAACTTCGACCCTTAAGCCTATCTAATTTCTGTTTTCCAATGTTTGTTAGCCTTTTGTTGCTCCTTTGATTTGGTTGGGCTCTAGAACTCATACCAAGGATATCATTTCCTTAGTTGACTCTTCACACTCTTGGTAATAGCATTTATGTCTACCACACTTATAGCAGTTCCCCTCTTCTGACGTTCTTTAAGAGTTTTTATTTCCTATAGACTTTTGTCTGCAATTCTTGGCAGTACATTAAATTACAATTGTAACATATATTTTCTGAGTAACCAGTTGTTTAACCAGTCCTTTGAGTTCTTCCAACCATCCATCAGGAGTTAATATTTTCATGCTATTTGATCTGATGATACTACAATTCCAGAATTGTCCTTTTAGTTGTTCAGTTGCAACTTTAATTAATGCTAGTTCCACTGTCAACTGAATAACTTCTTTTAATGATGTATGCCTACTTTGCTTTAACCAAAATTTGCATACCATCATCAATTATGATGAATTTATCATGTGCTAATGAATCCATCATTTCACATGAAGCATCTGGATAATTGGGCAAGTCTTTCCACATCTTCAAAACTTCAGCTAGGATCATATCCTTCCTCTGCTACTAAACTTTGCTTTGGAAACTTCCTTTTGATGTGACACTCCAAATTTATTTCAGAAGGTAACCAAAAATGCCTAATAGTTGCTCCAGCTCTCAGATGTAAGGTTACTTAGTTTTGTCAAAGCTGGTTTTCTTAAATCAGCACCATGATAAATATATTGTTGTTCAGTATTCCATCCATTCACTTTCAAAATCATTCCAAATTGAGCCTGATATGCCTCTCATCGCACTTTTCTATCAAGGTCCAGTGGTTCTTTTTTATTTGGACAATGTTGTTGATATAATCAGCTAAGTTCTGTAACTTAATGGTAGTGATATAGCTTGACTAGTCTAGGAAAGTCCTACCATCATAGGTGGCACAGCAATAATGATAACAAGTGTAGAACAAATGAGCTCCTATTCCATATTTCACAGTTAATTATGTTTGAGGTTGGAATTATTGGATAGATGTTTGGTCCTTACATTTGTCAGTTCAGTTTTTAGAAGTTTTATACTGGCATCAAAGTCCTTTAGTGCTTCCTTTTTTTTACTTCATTCATTTCCTTTTGTACTTCTTCAGTTTTGTTGTTATAATCATTCTGTATACCTTTAACGTAGTTTTGCAAATCTCTTTTTTACTATGGTATGCAAACATACCATAAATGTTTTACCTATTTTAAAGTAGAAGTTTAAAAAAATTGTTTATTCTAAGTTTTTGCATAACATGTAGACAAGATGTCATTAAGTTGACTTTGTTCTAGTTGCCCTTATCATACTATGGAGGCAACACCTATTCTACCCATGGGAGGTATGGCTGCAATGTGGAACAATTCGACAGCCAGTATCCTTCAACGATAGGCCGGATAATATCTTGATGCTCTCATAATATGAACGATCAGTCACATGATTAGCACTAGTCACTATGTGTAAATCCTAGATTCTCACTTGGACCAAACGTTAAGTTTTGAGACCTTAAAATTAATCTCTCTCTCTCTCTCTTCTGTTAATTAAAGATGAATTACACACATTTTTGAATTTTAACTTTTGTTTGTAAATAAGTAGTGAGATCTGTGTATTTAAAACTCTCTTTCTTTGCATCCAACTCAGTCAAAGGAGAAACAAACCCATACTCCATGATAAAGCATTTGTCGTGTCTCATTTTTTTAGGACCCACTCATTCAGTCTAAAGTAAATCAGTGTAATTCAGAATACCACATTAGTAACCATTACAATGAGCAATATCCAACTGCCACAATCTTATAATAAGTACTTAATCAATGCATGAAACTATGAAGATCCTATGAGTAGTCATTGCAACATTTACCCAAACAAATGGATTAGTACATGTTTATGATTTTTTGACACTAATTTACAAGGACAACATTAATTACGTGCAGAACACTTACAGGAAAAATTAGTTGAATGTACCTTAGTACGGATACATTCTAAATTTGTTATGGATGGGTGAAATTAATAACTGTTTCAACCATGACAAACAGGGCCAATAAATGTTGGCAATAAACATTTGAGACTTATTGAATTTTCTCACTATGTATTACCTCAGTCAGGTTGATGTCCACATTTTCAAAGTTGTTCATGATATATAGCGACAAATTTCCCCATTGTCCATGACTACACAAAATAAAAGTCCTGACCCTCTTGTTGTGGTTCAGTAGAAGTGTGGTGATTCACATATGCATATGACACTTACACTTGACCCCCTGCTGGAAGTGTACATTACAGGACTTTTTGATGCAAACTGTTAATATTCAAAAATTATAAAAGCGGGAGATGCATAAAATTTTTAACTTCTTAATATTTTGAAAGAAGGAATATCAGTGTTACTAACCATACTGGTAAAGCAAATAATCTAGCCAAATTGAAGACTATGTGTTAAAATCTGGAAAGTGAAAGATGAAAATGTTATCATACTGGATGAACCACGTTTACTTAAGTGTCTGTCACAAAGTGTGAGCAATTTATTATTTTCTCATGCAAAGTTGAAAGCTAATGGTATAATGCTGAACACAAATCCAAAAATCAAGTTAGTAGTTACAAAATATGACATTGTTCCCTCTCCCCCAGTTAAACTCTTGAATTTGCAGCTTGTCATGTTAACCACAACGTTACACCAAGGCCCTTTTTTCTAGAGTCTCTGAGGTATTAAATGTCATAGATAGTTGGGTAAATGAGAATTAAACAAAAATCATATTGTGTAAGAGTATAATTTTTAAGACGTATTTAACATCATTAAATTTACACAAAGCAATAGAAGCTTTTAATGATTTTGTTCAGCACAAGAAAAATAAAAACATAGTATCATCATACACAGATGTGTCTTCCCCATTCTGCTAATATAACATTTTATAAAATTAGAATAGATCCATGAAAAAGGAGTGTATACATCAGCTTTGAAAATACAGTACAGCATTGTTCTCTTTAATATATTAACATTAGGTATTCAAATCAGGTATACAACAAGAAAGTCAATAGAGTAAGGCATCATATAAACCTCAGCCATAATAAATATTTTGTTTTGTTAAAATGTTATTATAAGCAAATAACCACGCAAAACATCATACTAATTACACACCTTTTTCCCCATCCACTACAACTTCCTTATATTTTATATTACTTTCATATTCCATCACGTCAGGTTATATAACTTTGTCTGTTAAGTTTTTTGTTACGTCCAAAATCATTTCTAACGGCAAAGATACCCAAATAATGATTCAATAACTTCTAATAAATGTCTTAAATTTTTCTTGCATATTGATTTATGGCATTACGTACTTCTTGTCAGATTGTTTTATATAACTTACTTCATTAGTTCAAATAATCTTTTGCACTTATGACCTAGCCCCCCAGTGGCACAGTGGTATGTCTGCAGACTTACAATGCTAAAATCTGGGTTTCAATACTCATGGCTGGCAGAGCACAGATATCCCATTGTGTAGCTTTGTGCTTAATTACAAACAAAGTTATGGCCTATAATATTAGCTTATGTTTGAACAGAGGTTCATTAGAATTCACAAAAACGTGGTTTATATCCACCACAATTACTGTGATGACTTTTTTAAATTAAATTTCCTTGTTACAGGTATATTTAACTGTACAGCTTCTCTACAGTAACATTTATTCTGAAATTGTTTTAGAAAACTATTTCTTTGAAATATTTTCCACTTTCTATAAAAATATTCTAGTACATAATTTTACGTTTAACAAAAGACCAAGTCTACGAAAACCATAGACACTACAGGTGTATTGTTTCTCCCCAGTGTGAATCAAAATGAAAATAATTTAAATTACTGCAGCTTCCAAGTTCTTGGTTATATTTTATAAGATTATAAAGTTTTTCTCCAGTGTAAGTGGTCTTACCCATTTTAATGTTACTATTGCTTTTCAATGCCTTATATTTTACTAAAGGTAGTTCTACTGCATTATAGGATCTCCTTTAAAGTTTTTGCTGCAGATACTTAATTGTGTTATTGCTCTCCCATTGCAAAGTTATTTGTGTTTCTTTAAATATTTTCCAGTAAAAATACTTTGTTTATCCACAGTATGTATTCATTGGTAATAATTTCTCACTGTATGGCTCACAACTTTATAATATCTGCTTGGCATGTATCCTCTAAAGTTTTTTCACATCATAAGTACACTAAATTTGATTTTCACAACACACCTTTTAAAGATTTCCAGTGTAAAATCCATAATACTTCGATAAGTAATTTTGATTCTAAGTACTTTGCCACAAACTACACAGTTTCTACCCAATGTAAATCTTGTGACTTTTTGGCTATTATTTCAACATTATTTGGTAAAACAGTTCAGAAGCATAAAGTTTTCCCCACAATGTATCCTGTGTTGCTTTACAATATTACTACAACTACCAATCTCTTTACTGCACTCTGCATAAATTTATGATTTCTCCTCAATGTTTACTGTATGATTTTAAAAAAATATTCATTCTATGATGACTTTTCAGATAATAATATTCTTTACCACATATTGCACAACTGTATGGTTTATTTCCAAAGTAACCTCTAACCACAGCTGAAAATCCCTTACATTGTGTTTCTTCTTAAGACATTTCAATTGACTAACTGATTCTGAATTTTTTGTGACACACTAAACAATTAGTTTCCTCCCAGTGTGCATTTATTTTATATAAAAGGTTAGGTTATTATTCATTCCAAAATTTTTATTATACCTTACACGTGGTGTCTCTCCAGTGTGCATCCTCACATGGTCGTTTAAGTCAATATTTCTTGCAAATTGTTTGCCATACTGACACATCTACACAGTTTATCTCCACTAAATAAAATCTTATGTTTATTTAGTTACTTCTCCTTGGATTGCATGCTTTTTAGATATTCCATGGAGACTTCTGTATTAAAATATACTACATAAGAAATGTACTCTTCACAATAGATGTTCAAATAAAGCTTTGGATCTATACTTATTATGCTATTTTAATACAGTGTACTAGTAAAACCACTAAAATAAACAAATATATATTTATAGATCTAAAACAAAGATATATCTGGAAGATTGAATGATACTGTTGTCATGTAATTTTCCTCTGCATGGAAGACCAGCATGATGTCTAACACACATTTATCTTTCTAGTTTACTTATAGTGATAAAAACACCAAAGTAACCACTTGGTATTGATAACAGAACTAATTTATGAGTAATTTTAATGTCATTTGAAAGAAATGCACTTTGTATTTGTAAGTGTCTATATTTACTGAAGTGAAATGGTATTATGTTAAAACAAATACAGATCTGTTCTTCTCCATTTAATGACATGTAGAGGGAGACACATTGCTGTCAACAGTAAATGTTCATTCCATAGACATACTTGGCTTGCTCTGATTTCTGCCCAGAACTAGTACCTTCCAGTGTATTTCAACATTACTATTACTTCAAAATTATTTGCCACACGTCACAAATTGTGCAGTTTCTTTCACTACATAAATCTTGTCATGTATTTTTAGCCAATCAATATCTCAAGTTCTTTGCTTCATGCTACACAAAGATATGATTTTTCCAAAGTGTTGATTTCCTCACCCACAATACACATTACTTCTTCCAAGTTACTTCCTCAGAAACTCTTGATTCAGAGTTTTTTGTTAACAACTATGTATTTTCCCTTCACAATTATTAACAGCTAAAAATTTTTAACACATAATTCTAACATTAGCTACTACTACTTCTTCACAACTTTATCGGTACCACTTACAAACTTGTATTTCTCCTCAATGACTATCATTAAAAACATATTTAAGAAATTTCTATTTGCAAAATTTTATTTTTGGCACACTATACAAATAGAGAAATTCTTCCCAAAGACTATTCTGTAGTCTTTTTTTTAATTTAAGATGACTTAATTTCAACTTCTATGCCATACACTTCACAATATTCCCCCAGTGTGTGTACTCTCATGTCTATTACGTTCACTATTACATAAGGATTTTGTATCCCCCACTATACAAGGTTTTCCCCTGAGTGTATCTTTAGGTGTTTTTTGAGCCCACATTTAGTTGTATATTTTTTTATGCATACTTCACAGTTATAAGGTTTTTCACCAGTGTGAGTCCTCATGTGTTCTTTTAAGCAGTCATTTCTTCTAAATCTTTTGCCACACACTATACAAATGTATGGTTTCTCCATAGTGTGTATTTTTTGATGAAATTTAAGTTGAGTATGTGTTCTAAATTGTTTTCCACATACTACACAACTGTACGGTTTTTCTCCAGTGTGTGTCCTCATGTGTTCTTCTAGGTGACTGCTTCTTGCAAATTCTCTGCCACACACAACACATCTGTATGGTTTCTCCCCAGTGTGTATTCTCAGATGTACTTTAAGATAACTATTTCTTCCAAATTGTTTGCCACAAAATACGCAACCGTACAGTTTCTCCTGATTGTGCATCTTCTGATGTACTTTAAGAAGACTATTAGTTCTAAATAGTTTGCTACAAACTACACAACTGTATGGTTTCTCCACAATGTGTATTTTCTCATGTTTTTTAAGTTTATTATTCCCTTCAAACTCCTTACCACACACTACACAACTATACACTTTCTCTCCAATGTGTGTTTTCACATGTTCTTTTAGGCTACTGTTTGAAGTGAATTTTTTATCACACGTAACACACCTGTACGACTTATCTCCACTTTGGGAAACTTTGTCTTTCTTGCCACACACATCACCACTAGCTGTTTTCAGGGATTTGTAATTTCTTGTCTTTGTTAATAGAGATTTCTTTCTTGTAATCTCGCACCCAGGAAATTGCATTCCATGATCACTTTTCATGTAGATCTTTGGATCTAGAATCACAAAATGGATTTGAATACATGTAGTTGTCAATAAGTGTATATTATTATTGTCCTAAATATTTATAAAGCTTAATAAAATAATAAGAAAAAAAAATATTAAAACTTTAAAGATATATCTTAAACCAAACAAAATGAAACAGTGCTGTTCTCAGGTGATATCTTTTTAATGAACACTTTAAACTGATAAAACAAGATAGGTAAGACATAACAGATTACAAAACAGTGGTTTGATAGCTTGCATGATTTTCTTTCCAGATTCCTTAAAACAATTAAACCATCCAAATGATTGCTTGGTAAAGTTGAAATAATAAGAGTAATGTTTATAGGCTGTCTATTGAAAAAACACCTTGTAATTACATAGGAAGTTCCTGTATTTTTAAAAGAGAAACAACACTACATTAAGACTAATTTGCTCTGTCTTATCTAACTCTTTTTCATTTGGTTGGGTCAAACCATATGTCACAAAATTTAATTAAAGACTTTATTATCAAATGTATGTAAAACAATTGGCACGAAAATGCAGAACCTAAATATTTTCACCAAAGAAATATTAGAGAAGCTACTGAAATACACAAAAATGCAGACAAACTCATAAACAATGATGTGGGCTTTCAACTGTATCCATTATGGAAAACATTTTTCAACAGAATATGTATGAAGAAATGAGACTGAGAAAACAACACTCGCTAGATGTTGCTGTACTAACACACACACACACAGTATACCTTGAAAATTACAAGTGGTATGTCAAAACAAATTGGGTAACAATCTTCATATTTTGTAAATTTGTGTATGTTCTTTGTTACTTAATTTGTGCTTATAAAGCTGTTAATCTTTACATTATATGGTCTATTACCATAAAGTATAGTTTGTTTTGGGTTTTTTTTCACACAGAAGGGTAATTTACTTTATTTGTGTAATTTTTTACCAGTATGCCTATTCTGATGCAGTCTTAACTAATGTAATTCAACAAATTAGTGTTTGAGTATCTTCATAATGTTACAGGAAACTTTTATAACAAAAAAAAACTCCAGTGCAGACATATCTAATACGAGCCTAGATATACCTTAAAGTCAATTCTGTATGTAGTTTATTCTATAAACATTTTACACTATGTGTAATGCCATGTGTTTCTGCTTGTATATCTACATGTCATATGGTTGACAAATATAGAATTAAAATATTTATGCTCACCAAAATTAAGTTGTTCCAGTTCTTCTGTCAATTCTTTTTCTTTTTTTAAACTCATAACATCACGTTCTGAAGAATCTAGAACTTCATCATCACTCTCGCTGAACTTAGAAATAATGTCATCTTGTGGTGAATCACCAGGTTGCTTAGATTTTACTCTCACAAATGTGTCCTAAAATAAAAATGAACAATAACAAACAACAAGGTACTATCAATAACATACAGAAACACATCTCCCTACAGTTCCCTAATATTATAACATGATAGAAATGCCACAAGTCTCCCCACAGATCCCTAATTCTATAATATGCAGAAACACCATAAGTCTCCCTACAGTTCCCTAATTCTATAACATGATAAGTTACAGCTGGCATTTTTGGTTTTCAAATAGAATCTGATAAACTTTATTAATATGTTAAAAAAGCAGGGGTGTAGGCAGAAATTTATAATAGTATTGCTACTTTTGAAGAAAATGAGTGGAGAAGCTTTAGTGGAGGGCTTGGGGACATACTCTTTAGGTAAAAATTGGTAATTTTCATTGAAACAGGTACAATTTGATGCTTTCTGGGGCTGTTTTTAAACATAATGGTGCAATCTCAAACAACCAGAAATTGTTATCTCAAAATTATCTAGGTACAAACATTTTAATCAATAAATTACCCCAGTTTTCTTTGGCTCATAATCATAATTCTCTTCTTGCTCTTTTTCTGCTACTTTAAAATCAAAGATGGAGAGTGAAGATCCTTTTTCTACTGAATAATTTTCTTCTGTTCCTAAAAAAGTGGAACTGTATTTTTATGCCAACACAATATTACAAATTCTTATTAAGAAATTACACTTCTTCAACAGATAAGCCCAGTTTCATCTTTATTTTCCTCAAATACAGTGCTAAACCTATAATCAAGTACAACTACAGACTGAGAATAAAAAAAATATTACATATTCTTCCATAAAGTGAGACTTCTGTAGAGTTATATATTTTCTTTTTTTGTTTTGATAATCTCCCGAGAATATTTAAAACCAAGGAGAAAATTATTGGATAGAAGAGCAGTGTTTTCCTCAATAAAAATTGGTATTCAAATCTATCACTCCTGTAATAACATTGACTTTAATAAAGGTCAATAAAACTGAAGAAAAAACTTCAAAAACTCACCCATTTCACTAGTTTCAATTAGTTTTAACAAACAAAAGACGAGCGTACTTCACTTTTATACTAAACAATCAACTCAACCCTTTCACTGGTTTCAATTAGTTTTAACAAACAAAAGGTAAGTGTGTTTCACTTTGATACTAAACAAACAACTCAACCCTTTCACTAGTTTCAATTAGTTTTAACAAGCAAAAGGCAGGTGTACTTCACTTTTATACTAAACAAGTAACTCAACCCTGTCACTAGTTTCAATTAGTTTTAACAAGCAAAAGGCAAGTGTCCTTCACTTTTATACTAAACAAGTAACTCAACCCTTTCACTAGTTTCAATTGGTTTTAACAAGCAAAAGGGAAGTGTACTTTACTTTTATACTAAACAAGTAACTCAACCCTTTCACTAGTTTCAATTAGTTTAACAAGCAAAAGGTAAGTGTGTTTCACTTTTATACTAAACAATCAACTCAACCCTTTCACTAGTTTCACTTTATACTAAATGAACAACTCAATCCTTTCACTAGCTTCAATTAACAAACAAAAGGTAAGTATGCTTGAAAGCTAATGCCAAATATATGAAGAGCAACTAGCCTATCCAAGTGACTTGTCAATGACATTTAAGATGTGGAAGCCATACATCAACCAAACAACTGTTTAAGGACACTGTTATCAACATCCTAAAGAAAACTGAAAACAATCAAGTCACAAAACTCTGAATAACATCCACCATCAAGATAAATGTGATACAAAGAAGATAAAATCTGAGAAAGATTAAATCACAAAACTCTGAATAACATCCATCATCAAGATAAATGTGATACAAAGAAGATAAAATCTGAGAGAGATTAAATCACAAAACTCTGAATAACATCCATCATCAAGATAAATGTGATACAAAGAAGATAAAATCTGAGAGAGATTAAATCACAAAACTCTGAATAACATCCATCATCAAGATAAATGTGATACAAAGAAGATAAAATCTGAAAGAAATCAAAGCACAAAACTATGAATAACATCCATCATCAAGATAAATGTGTTCCACAGAAGATAAAATCTGAGAGAAATCAAAACACAAAACTCTGAATAACACTTGATTAATGTAACATAAAGGTGAAAAGTACAAACTTTTGGATTATTTTATGGCATTCTTGCTTGATAAATTGTACAGATCAATAACAATGGTATGTAAGACTGGCTGAGATTCATGGACAAAGTTAATTTTGCACAAAAAACTTGTTTTAATGTTAAGCAACTATATAAAGGGGAACTTATCTGATGAGGTACAACTGTTTCATGTTCCATACGTGTAAATAAACAATAACAATTTTGATTATTTTAGAGAGTTTAAAATCCAAAAATATCCACAAATCATAGGGCTCCCACATTTTTATCAAGGGGTTTCAGAATGTTGTTTGCATAATATGTCAATATACTCATACTTAAAATCACCCCCTTTACAAGTTGAATGTCACAGATTCTTTAAATTACATCAGATGTATACATTTATATTTCTTGAAAACCACATTATATTCATTTATGACAAAAAAAATACATCACTGTCTTGTAAATGTCCATGCAATCAAAACAAAATAACCCTTCAACAATTAGTACAGTTGGTCAGTCCAGAATAACACCAATAAAATTTCTATTTAGTGTAACCAGTTTCTAATTTCAGACATTGAAAAGATGAAAACTTCACTAACTGAGAATCACATTTTTGTGTTTTCCTGCATTGATTTGAATGTTAATAAATATGGTAAAATATCTTTCGAGAAACTTTGCATTATACATATATGTTATTTCATGTCATATTTATATTTTTTGTCATTTGTGAAAATATTGAGTGTTACAAAGAAAAGTGTATATACAATTCACATTTTCAAAAATGCTAGGCCTAGGCCATTATTTGTCAATCACTTAACAAGGTGCCTACTTTAATATTGTTGTTTGCTGCAATAAACTGTAAAATAGCACAATATAACCAACCAGCTTAACTTGTTCCTTTACTTATGGTTGACATAAAAGGCATAGTGCAACACCCATTTTACATTTAACTGTCACTTCTAAATCATCTTTTTGAATGTCATATTGTAAGGTAAAAGAAATGCTCTACCCTATAATACACTTTATTCAAAAACAAAACAGATACAACTTGAAGGCAAAATACTGTCCCACTCTTGAAACAGGCAGGAACAGCAAACTCTGTTAGATAAAACTATAACAAAAACACTGTCCCACTCTTGATACAAGCAGAAACAGCCAACTCTGTTAGATAAAACTATAACAAAAACCACTGTCACACTCTTGAAACAGGCAGGATCAGCCAACTCTGTTAGATAAAACTATAACAAAAACCACTGTCACACTCTTCAAACAGGCAGGACCAGCCAACTCTGTTAGATAAAACTATAACAAAAACCATTGTCACACTCTTGAAACAGGCAGGATCAGCCAACTCTGTTAGATACAACTATAACAAAAACACTGTCCCACTCTTGAAACAAGCAGAAACAGCCAACTCTGTTAGATAAAACTATAACAAAAACACTGTCCAACTCTTGAAACAAGCAGGATCAGCCAACTCTGTTAGATAAAACTATAACAAAAACACTGTCCCACTCTTGAAACAGGCAGAAACAGCCAACTCTGTTAGATAAAACTATAACAAAAACACTGTCCAACTCTTGAAACAAGCAGGATCAGCCAACTCTGTTAGATAAAACTATAACAAAAACACTGTCCCACTCTTGAAACAGGCAGAAACAGCCAACTCTGTTAGATAAAACTATAACTTAAGCTTCCCACCTTACAGTATTTACACAAAATAATTCAACATTGTTACTATAAAAACATGAAAAATATCCAAACTCTTGTGATAATACACCACCACCTTTATCACATATAATACGGTATCAAATTAAAACAACTCATTCGTACAAGATTTAACAAATGAAGTATAATATATTTCTTTGGTTTCTAATTATTTCTAGCTATATATGTCACAAATGAAAACTAAAACAACAACTAAAGGTAAGCAAAATATTAAAATGGGAATTGCACACTCAAAAGGTCCTGATGGTAAGATTTTTGTTGAAGATGGCTGACCATCATATGGGAAATATTGGGACTGACCTGAATCCTGCAGATATTAATCCCTTAGTGGTAAAGAGAAAGACTGACATATTAAGAACATATAAAGGACCAGGACAAGACAATGTTTTTCCCAGGGGTCTAAAGGAGGTCAGAGATCAAACAAATATACAAGTATAAAGATAACTGTCTTAAGTTAGGCATAACTTGGAAAAATGTGTACAGTTTTGATTTCCTTATCAAAAAAATTATATTCACTTGTTGGCAAAGAGCTTCAAAAATAAGGTGGCCATTACTGCAAGGGCTTAGGCCGACTTACCGACTCATCAACAGCTGTGCGTGGAAATGACTAGCCAGGTAACAAGTAACTAGTTGCCAGCCAGTGACAGCAGTCCACTACTCTGCACAAATCTAAGGTCACTTCAGCAGAATTGATGTTTCAACTTGTAATGTTCAATATTTTGCTTCATACAGATTGCTGCTTGCAACTTCATTGTAATGTCAAACAATTATATTTGAAAGAAAATGCTACTCAAAATTAAATATGGTGTTAATCAACAAAATCAGTTACTTTTAATTTGTCAACTGTACATGATTGTTTCTTGCCACTCATTTTCCTATAATCCTACTTAAAGCAATAACCAAACAAAACTAGTTTATCAGGTATAATTTGCTGAAACACAACAAACAACTTTTAGAGCCACATTATTTACTTCCAGTGACTTGAAGTGATAAGGCTAGAATGGGCAAGAATGTTATATTAGAAAGCAAAAACAGTACGACAGAAAATATATATTATTGTATATGGTGTCACAAAACACTAGTTCATCACTTTCGAGTTGGATGTCAAATGTTTCCACACGCACAATTTTGCCTCACTTTTAGCTGGCTACTAATGCCTTAGAAAGTTTTGAAGCCCTGCTTACTGGAAAGGGTTTCAGAAGATGGCTACTAGGATGATTCTTATGAAGAAAGCTTAATATTTTTTAACTTGAAAAAAGAAGGGCAAGAAATGATCTTACTGAAGTTGACAGTTTATCCAGGATATCAACAATATAAAGGCCTCCAATTTCTTTATGCTGCATTTTAAAGAAAATAACATAGATGGGTACAAGTTAAATAACTAAGAATAGACAGGCTAAGCTCCAGTTAAGAGAGTTTTATTTTTTTAACAGCATGAGTGACTTATGGAAATAGGAGTTGAGAACAGCATTTCACATGAGTTTATAAGAGGAATCAACAATTTCCTCAAAAATAAAGGGTGGGTTAAAGTTTTTAATCATCCTCAAGGGCAAGTTTGAGGGAATAGCTTTGAAACATGTAATTGCCCTTTGTTATCTGTATATTACGTTAATTTATAAAAAGAATATGCCACTTCTCACTCCATTATTTTTAACCTAATTGGTATATTCTACCAAAGTTTTTTAGCCACATATCTTCATGTATACTTAACTTTTAGCTTCATGAAATACTTACTGTATGGTTGTCCAGCACAAACATTCCCTTGACAAACAATCAACATTAGATGAAAGCAAAAGCTTACAGTGACAAAAAACTAAATAGGCAACAACAAATTTAACAGTTCCATGTTACTGATAGTTATTTGTCAAAAGAAAATAGTTAATAATATAAACAATACCTATGGAAACAACAAAAAAATTCACATAGGAAAAAAAAAGTAAGGTAAATAAAGGCCTCAAATAAAACAGTTACATAAATCTGTGTTGCTTCAGTTTCTCATCAAGTATTAAATTTATGATTTATTCTCTTTGTGTGGAACATTTTTTTAAGAGTATGAGTAGTACTTAACTGAGTCACGTTCAAAACAATCAAAATAAATTAAATAGGTTAATACAAACAGACAACCAGAGGCAATAAGTAAAATTTCATCTCCTAAAGTTATTTTTGTAACTTGTTCTATCACTAGGCAGGTTCTTTTTGATTATTTGGTAAAAATAATCCACTTATATGTAACAACTAACTTATTTGTTTTAACTGTAGCAGAATTTCTACAAGCAACATTTACTGGTAGGCCAAACTCAGCAACTAACATCTCCTACACAAATTTCACTACTAGCAATACAACTAATTCACAAATAAAACTGTCTTGTTATAAACGACACAACTTAAAATTGGCTGGCTAACATACACTGTTATCAATCAATCGATCACATGGTAACAGCTTCACTAACTAACTACCGTATTTTTTGGAATATAAGATGCACAGGTGTATAAGATGCACCCTTATTTTGAAGACAAAGTTTTGGGGAAAAAAAGCTACAGTTGCATTTGAAAGATTTTTTATTGAACAAAAATTCAATTTGATACTTTAAAAATTAGTATATATTGTTCTAAACACAAAAGAGCTCAAAACATCAAAATAAGAAAATACCGTAAATTAAAAAGTTTACTGTTATTTAGTTTGGTTCAAAACCTACAAAATCTTCATTGCTTTTTTATTATCTAGGTTGCATTATAAATAGTTATGTTTTTAAAAGAAAAAACTACTATTG